TTACGTTTCCCTCACCTTCCTTCCCAGCGTGGTAACTGAGTTCACTGAATACAAGTGTCAGAGTGTGTGTTTTTCCCAACAGGGACTGTGAGAGTTCTTACTCTGTTGAATGGTGGGCCGCAGCACCGCTTCCAGCATTCCCGGAAAGAGATCCAACAGGCCAGTCTGTCTCTGGAGTGCTGGGCTGCAGCTTCTGAAGAAAGATCCAATTGCAGTGGTTTCAGAGTAGCTGCTCATATAAAGACATCTTTGGGTTTGTGCCATCTACTGGTACTCTGAAACCACTGCAATAGATTAATACATATCAATACCACTCGTCCTTAGGTGCGAAAATCCACGCCAGCACCGCAAGCGTACGACGTACACCTTTGACCGCGCAAAATGGTTTCCAGGGTCTATGTTAGTTTTCAGTGGGTAGAGGTGTCCAGCAGGAAGCTCAAGCAGAATCAGTTAGTTTTGACATATGTAAATGTATACATACCTGACAAGTGAGAAGCCACAGCCAGCCCTTGCAGACGCTTAGAACAACATGTTTCACTCAAGAAGATGAATGAAAGAACCTCCCGACCCTGGTGCCAGGCATGCTCTTGACCCGCTTTGGATACACCTCTTGCTCTGTGGAGGGAGGACCAGCAGCTGGGAACGGGAAGGCTTGCCTTGGCACACCCTTGCTTTGGGCACGTCTCAGTAGCCTTTTGGCGATTCTTCATTTTTTTTGCTGTCAGGTTGTTGTTATAACATGTGATCTTATTAGGAGGTTGCTGGGTTGCCGACCGGAAACGTGTGATGACATGGGATGCGATGCTTGAGACCGGACCCACGGACCCGTAGAATGGGACCCGTTCCGAGGAACGTCTCGTGTTCGGTTGGGTTGAACTGCGCGTCTGGACGAAGCACAAACGCGGAGCGCCCCCCTTCAAGAGAAAGGTGCATTGAGAGTACCACATCTGTGGCAGCTCTCTGATAGCACCTGGTAACATGCTCGAACATGAAGAAACCCGTGGCCGTTCGTCTTCCGCCCAAGAAGCCTCGTGAGACCGCAGGAGGTGGCTACCAATACACCTATACTTGCTGCCCGGTGCAAGGCCCGGTGGAAGGCGGTTCGTTTCTACGAGAAGAAATGCGTCGAGTCTGTTCCCACTGGTGCGGCAGGTGAGTCTGCTCCAACCATCGGTGAAGTGAGGTCTCAAAATCTGGATGGTGAGTCGGCCATGCGAGGCTTATGTTGGGGGAGCCGGATAACGTATTCTCTGGTGATTTCGGGCTTAAGATCAGAATCAGGTACCCGAGTTGCCTATTCACAGCTGCCTCAAGACATCCGGTGCAGCGAAACCGCAGCTGAGTCAGACGCAGTCAGTCTTCCAATGTGGGGATTGCTGGCCTTGGGTTGGGGGGTTCTGGTCATGGGCACGAAAGTGCCAGCGTCTTCGACCAGGCTCGGGCGACTGCACCGAAGCCTACACCGAGTGGGGCGAGGTGGGACAGCTGAGCGCCTAGGACCTGCCGGCGGGACGGGACCCATCGACCGAGAGTCGAGGGGACGGCGGGGATTGAGACATTGAGGGGGATGCGGTTCTTGAACATTGACTAACTTAATATAGATGCTAGAGGAGAGCAGAACGATCTGTCAAAAACGTCCAGTTGGCTTATGCATGTAGGTTCCACTGGGGAAGAGGCACCGCGACAGACTCTGACAGACATCGCGACTCTGCAGGCCACACGATCAATCAGATCCTGTCCACATCGATGGCTATCTTGAGTAGTAGAAGTTGCCTCCGCTAACAGTTTCAGTTTGGTTGTGGTTCCTCCGATCCCTGTGAAAGATGTGGGTAACCTCTGATGAGGGAGAGATTTGCTTCCTATCCACCCTTTGGCATCCTCAAATCTCACAAGTTCTAAGACCCTGTATGACCCCTACTCAACTACCTTGCAAGACCTTACAGGAGCCGGGGCCTTGCAAACAATTGACAATTTGCTGTGGGCCTAAGGCGACCTGTCAGCTCTCCAGCATCATCACTTGCAGTGCCCCCGCGATAGTGGCCTCAAGCGCTTTATCTTGGCCGCCCGGAAGGCAGAGAGCGACCACTCAGTCTTCATGCGTCGTGCAGTCGTGCCCAAAACCTGAGTTTGGTCTCTCAGATGACTCAGGGCACCCGGTTGAGGTCAAAACAGGGCGGTGCAGGCCAGGCTTGTAGAGAGGATGCAGAGTAGATGGCAACTTGACATGACACTCGCCGGTGTTAAAGGTTGTAATTATCCTGATTCGAATGTACGGATCCAGACGGGATGCCAAGGTGCCATTTCTGAAATCTTAAATCTAATCATCCAAATCCACTCATCCACCCGTTCCCAAACTCCGTTTGGGGTACTTTGGCACTTTATCTCACCCGTTCCGAAGAGAGCCTGGGCCCAGCGCCCAAGGAAGCCCAAGTGCCCGAAGTCGCTGCCGACGAGACTTTGCAGGGCGAAGTGAGGTGCGGAGCGCCGCGGCCGCTGCTCGCGGCGCGGGTGGGTGGGGAGAAAAGCCCCGCAGCTTTGCTTTCTTTAACACATGCGGGAAGAAATCCCCTGATCAAAAAGAAAGGAACAATGGACACATATTGCACTTTTTGCTTCACATTTTTTTTTTTTTAAATTGCAATTGTCCAGTCCGGTGTTTACACCTTAGAACATGACCCGGTCATTTGGTCGAAAAAGTGGTGTGGAGCTCCCCGGTCATTTCATCGGGAATTTGGTCGAGACGGCCAATCTATTGGACTGGTGAAAAGAGTCTCACGGCAATGACCCACATGTTTGGTTTGTGACCTGGTGGTATCGTGCTGATACAGTTGCTTTTGACCAGCATGTCACAATCGTTATTTGAAGCATTCCTTGAGCAACTTCGCCCGCCAGGTACAACTTCGTTTGTTGCAAGCTACCCCTAGCTGCTCCAGTCAGCGTCCGCACCGGGCCGCTGCTCGCCGAAGATGTGCAGAGACTCGGCAGAAACAAAACAGGCGTGTTGTGTACATACATGTGTGTCTACATGTGTGTGTCTTGTGTCTACATGTGTATATATAAGTGGATGGAGAGGTTGCCACTGTGCACCACCTTGGTGTTTTATTCGCACCGAGGCCCTGGGAGGGCACTTACTGCCCGGTGGGCCGGACCGAAGGGAGGCCCGACTTCACGCGGCTCGCGGGCAGTTGGCCTCAGCAGCTCGGTCACCGGCCGAGAGCCGAGAACCGGTCGGTTGGGTGAGGTGGTCCGGAGAGGCGGGGGAGGTCTAGAGTCGAGTCTAGGTGGAGGGTCGTTTTAGTCTGCTTGGTTTCGGGTCGTTTTTTTTTGAAATTGAGACTGGTCTCCCCAGGTCGAACATTGGAACTTGGTGGGTGAAGCTTTTGGAGTGATGTGCGAAGACCACAGCTTCTTCGTTTGGAAGCGTTTGTGAACGTGTGAAGGCCTCGCTGTTTACTTGTATAGGAGAGTGGACTACTGATATGAATGAAGAGTGGACTACTGAATCTCTGGCCTCTCCATTTACTGTATAATATGAATGGCTGGAAGCAATCTAACACTGGCTTAGGCAGAGCACGAAACGCAAGCTTTGGGAGGGGCCGGGTTTCCGCTCGAATTCTGCTCTGAGTGGTTGAGAGTCGATGGCCATTGTGGTTCCAACGGATTTCACATGGATTTGTTTTGCCCCTGGGTCTTTGTCTTGTCCATCATAATGGATCGCGCATTTGCCACGGAAAAGTAGGCCTACAAAATAGCCAAGCTTAAACGTGTTCTCCTCCACGTTGCAGGCATTTTTGACATTCTTTGGCCCAGGATGTCTGTGCTCAAAAACACGCAGCTGGGCAGCAATAGCCCTGCTCTTGAAAAGCCGGCTGAGTGTTGGCCTCGCATCCAAAACCCAATGGCGAACATCTCCGAAGCAATTGTGTGGGGTAAACAGTGCAGAGAAGGTGGTCTCGGTCTAATTGGATGGCTTCAAAGCATCCTATTTAGACCTTTGTACCCCTACTCCATGACAGCCAATTTCTTCAGACAATGTGCAGGACATGTTGGGATTGGAATTTGTTCAGGAAGAGAGTACACTGAGTACACTTTCTTTTCTCCAATCTACAGTACTATTGAGTGATTGAGGGTGGAGCTTCATTGCACTGGTTGTTGGGGTCCTTTTACTGGGTCCTGTCGGATGTACAGATCCGGGCCGCGTCCCAAGCATCCCGGAAGAGCTTGGGTTGGCTGCTCACTGCCCTCTTCTGGCGTAGATGCCCCATTTGGACGAAGCATCGGCCTTCCACTGTTTAAGAGAGATCAGGCTTAGTGGTGCCTCAGGCTGATAGAATTCAAAGGTGATGAAGAGAAACCTGTTCAAAGGAGCCTGGTTTGAATTAGGGAGGGCCCACCAGTCAGACCCCTGGGAAGAGGAAAATTGGAGTGATCCACTCCCAAACACATTTCGACATATGGGCTGCAACAGGTACTGCGGCTATAAGAAGGGACTGTGCAGTGGCGACGTGATGATCGGCGATGACGGCGGCAAATGGACCTCCACAGCCCGTGATTTGGCGGGCACCGCCCTGACCTCAGAGTTCTTGCAGAACAGGGGCAGGGTGAACCGGAAGACGGGACAACCTGACGGAATCGTGGATGTTGCTCCTTCTTTTCTAGTGCTTTTGTCCCAATGTGTTGGACAAGCCTTGCCGTCCTTTCTTCAGCAAGATCCTTTAGCTCCTCAGCTTAGTCTCCATGCCAAGAGGGAGTTTGGGTCTTTGAGGCTTGCGATTGCGGATCCAAGGAGTTTTCAGCGGTTTTCAGCGCGCAATGGAGGGTCGGTCGTTTTGGACACACATGAGTTGATCCAATGACTTCTTCTTCTGGGATCTCACTTCGTCTGAACGGAACGAGATGGACAAAACCAAGCACCTAGTTGTGTGTGAGGAGCTCGGTCGACACTGCTACCACCAAGTGACTTAAAGAACTGTCTCGCTATGTCTTGCTAAGCTCCAAAGGAGTCTGTGAGCTTGGTAAGTTGGGAAGTCAAGGGGTCAGCTCATCACTTCTAAGGTGTGAGCAAGTACCCATGCCTCAAAGGGAGACTGAGAAGACATTCTAAGGGAGGATGTAAAGTAAAGTGTGAACCGACGTTTAGCGATTGTTCATTTTGAGCCAACATCCTGGGATACATTTGAAGATACCAATATTGCTTCAGACTTCGGACTCTGCAAGTAGTATCCCTTCGATGAAACGTATATAAGACACCATCATCGTGAAAAACCAGAGACTTCTAACCGATTTGCTTTTGTCATCGCTTCTCGCTTGCCCTTTCTGATCTGAGTCCACGTACTCCCAAGATCAACATGTGCTTCAAGATCGATTCACTTCTTTCTGCGTTCCCAAGTTTACCGAGCTTCCCGCGCATTTGTCAGCTTTCATCAGACAACACTCTTGGCAAATCATTCATTTCATTTGCGACGGACGTGTGGTGCGTTTTGGCCGTTCCTCCGTTCACCCTTCGGAAGACCACCGAAGACGGGACGACACCGTGAAGGTCGCCCCTCCTCGCCGACCCATCGAAATTTCGGAACGACGGTGGCGCTGAGATCTGCGGTGCCATTTGCGCCAAGCACAAAGACTGCCAGGGCTTAATCGCCACCAATAGCCAGGGCTGCGCATACCGGTGCCTGGGCGGATGATGACAGAGCTGGTGTCTGGTGGCGCTGGTGACCCAGGATGTAGGAGGTGACCGGAGCAGATGATGTGACTCGGGGTAGATGAGTGACCGAGTCTTACTGAGTATTACATACTATTGAATAATACTTGCTTTGCTTCAGTTTGACCACAGATTCATGGTTTGGATGTCCCCAATTTGATTGGGCGCAACGGCTCCGTCACTGAGTTTGTTATTTCCGAGTATATATCTACAATCTGTGGATATTTGTTGTAATCTCGTAGTATAGTGACCAGGGGGCTTATATATAAATATGTATATATATATATCTCAATGACCTACAGCCTGGTGCATGGGCAGCAACTTGTTCGCTTGGAGCTTGGATAACAATGTATTGCTAGCGACGTATTGCCCGCGAGGCAACAATAACTGCTTTGTGAGAAGGACTAAAATAGCTGTGTCCACGAAGCCGGTTTTGGCCGCCTTTTTTTTGAACACCCGAGGCAGCATCCCCACTGCTGGAAGGAGGCGAACTCAGGACAGGGAAGTGTACTTGTTGACTCCGGATGGGTGCCAACAACCTTTTACTGGATTATAGATACGCAAACTGGAGCAGGACCAACATTCAACCCCGCAGAGCTGCATTCAACCCGGCAGAGTGCACCCATGGCTAAGGCGATATTGATATCATTGTAAGGCGTACATGGCTAAGCCAAGCTGCCTGAGGGAAATGTTACAGGACAACGAGCACTGACCAAAAATGTGCAACAACAAATAATATATAAGAGTCACAAGAGGTACGCATGACAATAGGCAGACTCTTTTGTAGCTGCTCGAAGACCTGGTTGGATCCTGGGGTTGGTGCCACAGGATGGGCCAGGCTTCTTGCTGTGTGAACACAATGGAAAAGCCATCAAATGGATCACTGTACCATTCAAGTCTTAAAATGTCATGCTACGCCAGGAACACCGTTCTGTTCTGAGGTAGAGTTTTCCGAAGCATGGCTGTCCCTGGAAGTTCTGCTTGTCAAGAACCATCAAGAACCCTTCTAAATGGAGCATGTTTCGGACAGGCCAGTTACCCACCTACTAAATATGCTGATTGTTGTGGTGGTGGCCGCCGTCCTTCTGTTGTGACTGCTGCTGCTGCTGCTGCTGCTGCTTTCTTTTGTTGTTACTGAGAAGTCACGGCCACAGCGTCAAAGTTTCCAACCTGCTCGAGGAATCGACTGCTGGGTGCGCATCAACACCAGCGAGACTCCTGGGAGGTTTGAGCAGATGTTGTTCTTGCAGAGCCAAGAGGGAATCCCTCAAGCTTTAAGTGATTTTGCGTTGTTAATCGTTGGTATATTTATGGTATCCATAAACCAAAGTTGATTCCACTAGGGTGCCCTATGGACCATTGGATAAATACATGTAAAAAACTATTCCTGCAGACGATATTGGACATTGTGATACATTTTGAATCTCTTTTGGCGAGTTGATTCATTCAAAGAGTAACTAAGTTGTTCGGTGCTATAGTAGAGGGCCTCCTCGAAGCTGTGCTTTGCACAATTCTCCTTCTGCAACTGTGTATTTTTCGTAGGGTGCAGCATGGTGCAGCTGAGGAGATTTGTGATGAAAATCCAGTTTTTGTTAGCAAGGCCCAGGAGCCGCAAATCCAAGGATGAAGATCGGTTTCGATCGTTTGGGCGGCTCCTGGTGCATGACCCCTGAAGGAGGCACTGCCAAGTGCCCCTGGGACATCGAGTGAGGATGGTGTGGAGGATGTGGGTTTGCCAATCTGATCGATCAGTCAGTTGTGCTAATAGAATTTTCAGCAGTCCAAGGCAGGCAAAAGTTCAACCTCGAATCCGACCACAGATCACTCCGGATTGACCTCCGATTCAGGGTTTCTGGAAAGCATCCGACAGAGGATGACAGAGGCTAGGGTGTTCAGTTGTTCGGGATTTTCTCCGGTGTCGCAACTACATTTGCGGAGAAGCCCGCCCTGGCAGTGTCGAGTCCCTACCAGTATCCCGTTATATCTCCTTGTTATACGTACATATATGAGTCTTTGGCATTCGTTAGCTGGCTTGGCCAGTCAATTTGATGCGTCACCACATGTCTTTTTCCGTCAACAGGTTCCATGTCATGTGTTTTGTGTGATAATTATATTTCCATCTTCATCGTGGCTAAACCATTTATGTATTATATATGGCTCCATGAAGCGTGTTGTTTTTGAAGATCTTCTCAGCCAGTCCAGTACCGGGCATTTTGGTGCTCCTTTGGCATCCCTCAGGCTCCTCTCTCACGGAGGTGGCTCACCCCTTGGAGCTGCTGCCCAATGCGGGCGGCGTGGACTATGCACCGCTGGTGCCCATGGAAACGGACTTCGAAGGCGGCGGACTTCGACGGACGGTTTTCGGTCGACAGAGGGTGAGCACGCTGCAGAGGGCTAGGATAAGGGAGGTCTTTGAAGGGAGATCATACTTGAGGAGGTGGGAGTGCTGGGCAAGGAAGACATGTATACAGAACTGATAGATAACTTGATTTGCTAACAAGGCTAGAACAGGCTGTATGTATGTACCAAATATTAACTTCGGACTACTGAAATCTACTCTACAGGTGGATAAACCTCAATTTCAGAATATTCAGAGATGTACAACTCACTTTTGCTTTTACCTACTCCTACGTGTAGGAAGGTTCTTTGTTTGGCTCTATGTTGGCCGAACGTATGATGCAGCAGAGGGGCGTTTCATGATGAAAGGATCCTTCAAAAGAGCCTGTGGTCACAGATCACTGAAGGCCAAGAAGTCTAAAGAAGAACCCTTAAAAGGGTGGTTGTTTGGTCCCTGTGCTGGTCAAGTCGTATTTTTTGTTTTACACAGTTCCATCGATGGAGGCAATGGTGCGACAGAGGTGGAGCGGGATGCCACCTGGCCGGGAAGGAAAGGTGCAGTGAAACGGAACAAAGATCTGGAAACACCCACTGAGATAGAAGGTATCCAGCGGTTGTGTATGCCGGGTTTTGCCTATCCAAATTACCTATTCGCTGGTTGGTAGTCCCTATATCCACGGTTTTGTTTGCGGCAATGTCGTGCAGATCCAGCGTTGTTTCACCGCTTCCTCACCATTCCAAAGATGTTCAGAAAGCTTTCTTCTATTTGGTGGGCTGGAAAAACACATTTTTTCGAAGAGGATTACTGTTCTAGGTCAAGAACGGTCTAAATGAACGTGAGCTAAACGTGTGGGCAGGGAGTGGTATCAAAGGTAGTGCCGGTAATGCCGCAATGCAGTAACCTGTTGAATCTGCTGTCAATATATAATCCACCTTTTCTTTCTGTTTCATTTTGTTATCCCTTTTGGACATGTCCCTGATCGCTGAGTGTCGGGGTTCGCGGGTTTGCTTTCCATACGCAGATGGGTGCTGTCAACTGAGTGAACAAGACCTCGACCATTGAAGCCTCAATAGAGCAACACACCATGTCATTTGTTCTTTATCTATTGAAACTGTTTGAGCATGTTGACCGTTGACCCAATTGAACTACGTAATTACCTATATTAAAAAACAACTTATGGTTCAAACTAACGAAAAATTGTTTTTGTTTGACAGCTGTCACTTTGACAATGATTGATTTGATTGTCATTAAACAGTTATTCAGATATTCAGACCTGATGTTTGTTGATACCGTTTCTTCTGAATTCATGGTAGCCGCACGGTGAAACACTTTACCAGTTGAGTGAGTAGGGTAATGCTTCGGGTTGTTTCCTCATCCAAGGTGCCAAATCGAAAACATCCAGCTTCGACTAGGTTGCCTCAAGAAGAATTTCAGACAAAGGGACCCATCAGATTGTCCAAGGTAAGCCAAGAGTTCTAGCATTTGCTGTTTTAAAGGTATCCTTGGTTGCGGAAGGTGGTTGGAACCTTTGCATTGGGCGTTTGAAGAGGACCATTTGAGAAGGCATCTGTGGCGGCTCCAATCAACTTTCCCGTCCTGTGGTGGCTCCATAGGACTCGACTCAACCACGGTCTTGGCCGAACCGAGGACATGGCGCAGAGCCTCTTGGGTGTGTCTGCAGCGGTCAGCACCCGTGCGGGCACGAATGGCACCTCGGCGCGTGTGGGAATGGAGTTGCCATGCAGGAGTGCTGGAGGTTTTTAGAGCCGCACGGAGTAGGTTTGTTGCTAACAAGACTCAAAACACGTTGTTGAAGCAATGCATCGGTATTGTATGTGTTAGTTGTCCTCTTGAAATGTTTTGCTTTGTCACGGGTTTTGTAAAGTATAGAGGTTCTATAGAGGGCCTCTCTATTTCAAGAGAGCCCACAAGAATGTCTTCTGCCTGGAGACTCAAGCGGAGAATCCTACACAGCAACAGTTTTCTTTGAGAGAAAACACCTTTGGGAATGAAGTTCATCATAGTTATAGTTCGTCACTTCATCACCTTTTTTTCTTCAGACAGCTGTTATTTTTTCTCAACTCGATGCCTTTACGTGAGAACGACGTCTTCTTTGAAAAGGGGCAGCTGAAGCGGAAACGGCTCCGGACGTGTTTTCAATGTGGAGGTTGGTCGAAGGATTCCTTTGGTGAACGATTCGTTTGGTTCCAGACCCCTTGGAAAGCGTTGGACCACAAGAAAAGCCTAGGGGCGACGTTCGTTGGTCTGATTTGTGGTCAAATCGTAGAATACCTGAATGGTGATCATTGGAACATGTTTGATTTTTGTTGTATTTGATCTGTTATGGTGCATGTGTGAAAAAGGTTTTGGTGACCCTAGAAGCGTTTGTTGTTGGACCATCAACTGCAGTGAGCTAGGGGTCAATGATGAAGACTGAGGGGCCCTGGCTGTGATCCCCAGAATTCTGAGTCAGAGATGTCAGAGTCTCAACCAATCTCTCGTGGGAGCCGCTTGCTTGGCGAGGTGGCTTGGGGAACCAAAAGTTCAAGAAGTTGCCCAAGATCCCGAAGGCCGTTGGTGAGGATGAACTCCAACAAAATCCAAGCCCAACATAAACCGAAAGGGATGAATGACCTCCTTTGCGGTTTATCCAGGTAGTCAGTTCTGATTGATTGATTGATTGATTGATGGATTGATGGATTGATGGATCGATCGATCGATTGATCGATTTGATGGATTTGCATTTGATGGATTTGATCGTTTTCATTGATTTCATTGATTTGATTTGATTTGATTTGATTGCTTGCTTGCTTGCTTGCTTGATTGATTGATTGATTGATTGATTGATTGAACAAAAAACAAGACAATCACAAGTAGCATGGGATCAACTGGGTGCCATTCCTTTGTAGCTAACTTTTAGCACGTCGTTTTCCTATGTTTTTCTTGTTTTTTTTCGAGTTGGCAAGCAATTCAAGATAATCCTCAAGCCTTGTGCCCACTCCAACAGTCCTGGACGACTCTTGAAACTTCCAGTATCTGGGATCCGGAAGCAGCTTGTTTGTTGAATGCCTCATGAACGCCTCAATACGGTGCAGATTCGAAAGAGTTTACTCTTAGGCCAGTTCAAGTCTTGATTCCTTCGCATGTCGCAAGGCAAAGTTCCAACCGGCCAAATTCGAGATGGCTGAGTTCAAACCCTTCGAGGCGACCGTCGACTCTCTATCTCGGTCTGCCCGGTCAGTCCTTCGGGTGGTTCGTTGGGTCCACCTTGACGTGGCCGACGGACATCATGGAAGGTGAGAAGGGAAAGGAAGCTGGTGGTCATGATAGAGACAGAAGCCCAAGAAATTGGGTGAGTGGCATCTTCTCCTGCAAGCAGGACAAGTGGACCAAGCCCCGACTGCCATTGCACTGCTAAGGGCAAAGTATCCACATCCCTTCCCTGGCTCTGAAGATGTAAATGTCTTAAGTCTTAAGCACTTCAAAACCGTTTGCAGATTGACCCAGAAGTTCGACCCTGCTGATCCGTGCCTCTCGTGCCTCGTGGCGCTAGGGCGAGAGGAAGGCCTTGGAACGTCGGGGCGTCACCGAGCACGTCTTGAATTGGGCGCCCAACGCCATCACCTACGCACCCCACTGTTTGGCACGTGAGCGCCTTGGTGAAGAATAGGGCAGCACGGCAGCGCCTGTTTGGGAGAGGGCCATGGGGATTTGGTGCATGCGTATCGTGAAATGGAGCTGTCCTGAGTCTGGATCTTCCGTGTTCGATCCAAAAGCGGTAGTGAAGTGGACTCCCCAAATGACAAAAGCTCAAGGTTTTTGGCTCCAAAGTTCTGAGACGAAAGCCGCAAGGAACCGGGAGATGATCTTGGGTGCCGAACCGGTGGATGGTGCTGAGCACTTCCTCAGCAGTGAGGAGAGGAAGAAGGAGACCAAGCAGCGCGAGGGCGATCGCGAGCGTGTAACGAAGCAGCGGGAAGTGCAGCCCAAACGGGAAGCGCGTGGGGGCGATGTGAGGAGTTCGGGATGAACAAGTTTCTCTTAGTGTTCTTTTCGCTGAAGGGGCTTGGACCAGGAAGCAATTCACCAGGCAACGGAGCCAACAGCTCCTTTTTCTGCTCCGCAGGATGTGGTGGGCGCCTGCTACCACGCCTTGGGCGTGGATGGCGGAGGGCTCAGCGCTGTGGAGACCTGGGGTGAAGATGCCACCAGCGACTGGACACCACCCTATCCAATGGATATGATGCCGCTCGGTCCTTGTTTCGGCGTGGATTCCGGACCCAAAGGGTTGGACCTGGTGGGTTGGACCTGGGGACCAGACTTGGGACCAGACTGAGGGAGTTAGGTGCTGGAGGCTGTCCTAGGTCCTAGGGTGAGTTCGGGCTTTGGTTTTCTTGTGGTGTGGTTGAGCTTCTCTTGGAAGTATGGAGCATTTCGGCGTTACCTTGGAACTTCGGAAGACTGTCTCTATCCCCCAGTGCCCAAATTTCCCATGCAGTTCGGGCAACTGGGCGAAGCAGGAGCTTGTGAGATTGGGATCCTTGCGAGGCACAAAATTCGCCGCGAACCGCCGATAGACCACCACGCAATCCAACTCACTTGGAATGGAGAGATCAATGACTTTGAGCTGTTGGATCTCATGGGATATCCACCTGACAGGTTTTACGGCTCAGAGTCGCCGGAACCAGACGCGACGACTGGATTCTTGGACCGAGCTCTCTGCCACAGCCTGGGGCAGTCATGCAGTTGGCCTTTACATGTTTAGTTGTGTCTTGAAGCCACAAGGTAAAGATGTGGATTTTATGTCTTGCTACGAGGTAAATGACCCATAAGACATCATAAGACCATAAGACTTGAGGTGCTAAGTTCTCCCAACTCTTCCCAGAGCGTCTTGAAAGCCTCTATGTTTTCCAGCGTCTTGAAGAGCATCGCTCCAAAAGCTTCCCAGAGCTTTTCACCTGAGGTTTTCTGGCCACCAGGGCTATCCGGGTTTGACGGCGGACGCCGTCTGGGAGTGTAGCACTCGCGATATCAACCGTGGTTACAAGCTGGCGATGTGGGACACTCGGCTGGGAGAGCGTGTTGTCATCTGGAAAGTTCAGAGCTGTCATCTTCTTCCCAGCTGGTGCGCCGATAGGTAGAAAGACATAGAAAGACATAGCAAGGAAGTACGTACAGGTTTATGGTTGAAGCAGGGGATTATATATAATCTAGCATAAATTGTTTCATGTTGGCCTTGAAGGGGGATGTACGTGCAAATTTCACTGAAGCACCAATTCCCACTTGGTGGACATGTCAAAATCATTCAAAATCGTCACATGACGCCAGATTCAAATTTTACGCGCGTATTGACTCCCTTCTATCAAGGCCCTTAGGAGCTTGCGCGCTCTTCGGACTAATGACCAGTTGGGTGTCTTTTTGAGTGTCCTTTTCCGGCAGGCAGCCGCATACCCCCGCATCCCCCCGCATCCACGGATTCGCCAGGAGAGGCAAGCGGACTTCAACAAAGCCATCATCGACCTCTCGGGCGCTTTGCTTGCAATAAGCAACCGAGGAAGAAGCCGACCGGAAGAATCCGCGAAGCAACACCTGCCGGTGGGTAGAGAAGAAGTCATCGTTTCGCTGGACCCAGATGATTGATCGGGGCATGGCTTCGAGGTTTAACAGCAGAAAGTTCCATTTGCGTAAGGCTGTAAAGAAAGATGACTGCTGGGTTGCAGGTTGCTTGGTATCTCCGAACACTTGAATATACTCATTCGTATTTTTGGATCTTGCTACTTTTCAATTTTGTGAGATCACTGATTAGTTAGAACCATGTTTTTGTATCTCACCGAGCTACAATGCACGGCGATGAGAATTCAAGCACCATGAACTCCACAAATTGAATTTATTGCGGACTATATATGACTATATATATTATTGTTTAAACTTTTCTTTTCCCAAACCAGATATATATCTTCAACCAAGGATACCCAATGAAGCCCAACCGACTTCAGTCAGTAGAGGAGAACAATGCCATCCTGTCAAGACCTCCACTTCATTTGGGTCTGTCTTTCAATGTGGACATACACAGACATGCACCTTCCTTCGAAAGCCATCAACACTAAGAGTGCCATTGGCAGGAAAGCCCATCAGCAAGGGCATTTGCGCGGCTATTCCTGGAACCTTGTCGTTGGTGGGTGCCATTGCCGCCTATGCAGGTGACGAGCTGCAGAGCAGTGGCGGAGCAGTGGAAAACTCTGAATGTTGGGAAGTCCTTCAGGGCGGATGATGCGGATGGAGTTCCCAACTCCCGTGAATCCTTCTAGGTTGACTGCTCAAAGGATGGAGACTTTTGGAGAGAGGAGGACCTGGCCTTTGTGCCAGTGAGGTTCAGGTGTTTAATCCAGGGACCACTGTAAGAGCGCGGAGAATGATACCTGTTTTTGCGTGTAGCAGACCTGTGTTGAAGGAGGCCCCCGAAGGGCCACTGAGAATCACATACCCCACAAAGATACACGCTTACAAGGGATCAACACGAGTCGGCTACACACAGCAGAGGCCAGGCAAAGGCAAGAAAACGAAAGGAAACAAAGGAAAAGACCAGGAAACCCAGAAGCAAAGCAAAAAAAAGAGACGGCACAGGCAGAAAGCACAAAACAAGAGGATATGATAAAGGCACGCAAACAGGAGAGATAGCAAAAGAGCGCAAAGCAGGAAAGACACAAAAAGCAAAGGACACACAAAGCAAAGGACACATAGAGCAGAGAGGACTGCAAAGAGAAAGGCGAAAGCATGGAACAAAACAAAAAAGCACCCGACCAACCCACGTCCGTGTCACACGACGTGTTGTCGGTCTTCTTCCCCGTCCGTCCACGGACCAGGCGTGAAGTTCGAGACCTCCAAGGTGTGTGATGCCATTGCGGCTAACATCCAAGGTCAGACGGCGGTGTGTCATGCGGGGCGTCAGACGACATGGGTTTAGGGTTGAGGATGTTTTTTTCGGCCCAGGTAGAGGTGGCAGTTTTTGAGGCAGGTGACGGTTGGTGTGGGGTTTGTGAGGTCGTTTGAACGAGTGGAGGACCCACCCAACATATTTTTAAAGTTTGAGTCTTTGGGAAAGTAAAGGATGTTGTCTTGGGCACCCACAAGAGATGAAGTCGTTTTGGGACTATTTGGAACAGTTTCACGGACGACCAACTGCGTTTTTCTCAGAAAAAGCACCATCGTTGTGCATCCACCGGTTTTGACGACCAACTGCCTTGCAAATGGTTGGATCCGTTGGATCCTATGGGCTCATGTTTTGCATGAAAGGCCCTTTAGCCTGCGCCGTACGTAGTTTTAGCGCAGCATGAAGCATGCGAGTGAGGCGTCATTTAATGATATGTAGATGCCAGACAGTCTCAAACAGCCGAGATCGTATGACTCAAACAGGTATTGCATACATGAGATATATGCTCGAAATATCTATATAGAGTTTGTAGTATTCTGTCGGACTCGACTGGGGATCACTTGATCAGCCTGGGAAGGAGCTGCCACTTTTATGATCGAGAAGCGGCAAAGCTACCGTGAGAAGCGATACATCGAGAGTGATTTCCAAGACTCTGGTCTGCACAAACAGAACGTGAAGTTCGTAACCGGCTTATTGCTAAGTTATCTAGTTTTACTTTTCTCCAATGTCAACTTTGCTTGGAGTGAGCCTTTAGGGAACTGCTTATGTGCATGTGTTGCACAGAAACTGTTTGTCAGTGGAAAGTGTCTTGTGGCGCTACGGAGGTCCAAAAGAAGGGTTCCGCTCCCAGAACTCGCGAATTGATCCATGCCAAGGACTGCAATCCCCTGCAGAACACCATGGCCAAGGTGCATCCCCTGAAACAGGGTGAAGAGAAGACATGGTTCAACACGCATGGAAGTGAATAAGCCTTTGTTCTAGCAGCGATAGTCTTGCCATCATGATTCTTGGAGGGAGGGCCATGTTCCTCAGAAGTTACTTGTAGCCTTCCAGAACTCCTGACATCCTTTCTCCCACAATCCCCTTCTCGAAAGGTATGTGGCGGTGCAAATAGTGTCATTTCGCCGAAGCCAAGAGACCTTCCAATCTATTTTTCACTGGGAGTTTGGAAGGAGATGTGGATGTTTCGTGTCCATGCTGTGTTTACAACAACCAAAGCCACAATATGGTACATACCAGGCCTCTTTGCTCCAACAAGCAATGGAGGTGGAAGTACAGGAATTTGCCAGTCTGCACGGTGGAGCTGTTTTGGTCAACCCTGGATTTTGGGAAGGGGAACAAGACTCCTGCAGGTCCTGCTACAGTGTTCGATCCAGGTTTCGTACTTCTGGCAAAGGGATACGAGATAATTTGGGGAGGGATTTCCAGTGCATGCCATGCAATCCACACGTCTGATGTGACCACCGTCCAGGTTTGAGTAGATTGATGAGAGGAGCTCCTCCTTGTCCCACCAGATCCATGTGACTAGCCATTGGGTTCTCTTCATGATCGTCCTAGACATTTCGGGGTCCCTTGGAACTGTGTCGATCCAGTTCTGTCGGTGTCGGCATTCGTTTCGGTGCCAGGTCTACTGCGACCTGTCCTGTGTGGAGGATGCCGTGAAGCGAGGGGATGAAGAAATCTTGAGTTCCATTGGGACTTTGATGCTTGGGCGCCGTTTACGGGAAGTACGTGCCATCTTGGCATGTGCCATCTTGGCGAAGCATTCCCAGATGATTTGCAATATTGATTCACTGATCAGCCGGGGCATTTTCCAGGGATCAATGTCGGCACATATGGAATATACCTGGATCCCCAGACAAGCAGCTGTATCTCCCAGACCCCGCCACTTTTAACATCCATTTGAAAGAATGTGTTTTACCATTTAGGGAACATTCATTAATAGAACTATATATATATATTTATAGATTAATATTGTAAAATTGATATAGACTATAGAATGGTCCATGTGTTTCTCGGGGCAAAGTGGGTTAAACGTCTCGGAACCTGGTCTCATGATGCCAACATATGCACGCTCTCTTGCCCACGCCGCTTGGTTGACCAGGGCGACACTCAGCGACTATGTGACACCGCTGACCTGATCGGTTGATTCCTTGCCATTGATCTTTTGTGACAGTGTACACCTCCTCCACTGGGTTGGTGATCTTCTTGACTTGGCAGTTACTCCATGTAGCTCCACATATTGGATAGATCAACAAGAGCTCATGAAGCGCGGCTGAGGAACCGTAACATCTTGTCCGAGATGAAGGCTGCATGCGCTGTGGATGAAACAACACCTGCACGCTGGGTGAACTGGTGAACTGTGAAACGTCCGTGCTTGGTTTTCCCTGAGTATTTTTCTCATGTAAGAACCCTAAATGAAGCAAGAGAAACCCTGAATGAACACTGCCTTCATCGCAAGCACTGGTGGGCACAAGGAGGTTGCCTGGTGGTTCCTCTTCAGGCCTTTTTCGACCACTATGTCTCGGAGATATTCACACGCCTCACTCACATCGAGGATAAGTCCTCCCACGCCTCTCGCATCGGAACAAAGAAGGGTGGAGAAGGACCATAGCTGAAGGATGGTTCGAACCAAAGCAGTTTATTGTCCTAGTGAATCAGGAACGATGATTATCAGCAATTAAATGCAATTGTTTGGATTGCTTAAACCACCAAGAAGACCACTTTGATGACATGCACATCTTTCCAGTTTCCCCACACGTTCCTTACCAAGCAAAAGGTTCCGCCGGATTGCTTCCGGTCGAAGCCGAAGTCCTGGGGGATGTGAAGAACCGCCCACGATTCACGGGCGTTTCATGGAAGACTCCTACCTACCAGCACCTTCCAACAGGTCTCCTTTGGAGGCTTTTGGAGACTTAAAAGTGTCAGGTGGTGACCTGTTGGAGGGTGCTGGTACTTGTACCAAGACTCTTAGTGTCACCATGGTACGAAGTGAACTGATGTGAACTGCCTTTGCATCATCGGAACTGGTATGAACGGGGTTTTCGCAGAGAGCTAGCATCAAGCGGTGGAGGTTCTGCAAGATGTGCCCAACCATTATCCTAAGATGGCTCGGGAATCACACTTTTCAGCCCTGGAGTGTTTTGCAGATTTAAAAGTCAGTAGTCCTGTGATTTTGAAGGTGATTCTTAGCATGTTGATTTTTGATCGTCTAACAGGGCTTCTCACAAACAAAGAAGATAGGATAAACACATGGGATCGATTTTGATACCAGTGCATGTCTTTTGTTATGTTGTTTGTGTTTGAGATAAGTTGGGACTCAGGTCGATGAAGAGTCTGCTGACTGTTGAGTTGTTGTGTGCATTGTGACATTGCTGCGAATTTCCTTTGCCTCATCAGCAGTATAAAGATGTTTGTATACTGTATATCCCCTCAAGATCTTGGAGAATGGTCCTGCTAGCATGATTGCACTTGTTGTGTGTGGGGCTCTGGCTCTTCGAAAAAGCATCCTCTAATCTAAAGCGGTTCAAATTAAAAGATTCGGCAACCGGGAGAGATTCTTTGTTCCGCAGAGGCAAGCTCGTAAGCAAAAACAGGCGCGTTGGTAGGGATGGTGCTTGTTCTCTGCCTGCATGCCATCATTTGGCAACTGCAAGAAGACCTGTGTATATATAAGCACAGCTGATGCTATTCTAGTATGACTATTGATATTGTACTATACTGCCATGCAGTTCCTGTTTGTTCAAAGGTCACGTCGCCACGTTGCAGTTTCGGATCTTTGAAGAGTGGGCCGTTCAGCTGGCCCTCTGAACCGGTGCGATCTCAGGAGAGTGGCCAGCTGAAGCAGGTGCTGGACAGCTACGCCCGCGCGGAAATCGATGCCGTGAACTCCAACGGGCACCGCGGCGGACATCAAGGTGGTTCGACAGGTGCCATCACTGTAGAAAAGATGTGAATACTGAATCAGGTAGGAAGGATATGACTAGATGAGCCCCCACAATTCTCATGTTTGTTGAGAACTCCCAATACCCTAGCATGAGGTGACCTATGGATGGGTGTACTTTAGACGAGAGAGATCCCACAGGTGCAGCGGGCTTTAGCGATTTGTTTTGCTTCTTCCCACGGAGGTTTCCCTTTTCCAACGGACTCCCGATTCGTTTGGATTTGGGATTTGGTGCTGAGATGACACGGACGCTTGGACCGGACAGCGCTTCGGTGCTTTGCATCTGACAAGAATGGCCTGATAGGCCCTGTCACGTGACCAAAGTGAGTCAGGTGCAATTGCAACATGTGGGGTTGTTGGTGCATCTGAAAGTGATGTTGGGATCCAGCACGTGCAGGTCAACAACGCAACGACAACGAGACATCATTTCACGCAAAGAGTATGTTAGCTCTTTATTTGTAGCATGACCTGACGTTCCAGTTTGCACTAGGCGTGGTTCACGGGGATTCCACTGACAATGACAAGAAGGCCCATGATGATATACGTTGTACCTGCTGTGCTGAGGAAGCAGATCATCAACGCGATGAATACACAGCACTCGGTGCCTTGTCCGCTGTGGATGCTCTGTGTAATTATGAGGAAACAACATAAACCCTTTGAGGGAAGGTTTGTGACGCTATTAGACGTCTCTGCACTGGGGAACTGAGTGCATTGAACTGGTACTACCTAGTTTCCATGAAGCTGGCCTTCATTCTGGTGGCTACTTCCAGTATTCCAATTCCAGGTCACATCCGGCATTGCTGGAACTTCCTACAGTAGAAGCAGTATATCATCCTGCAGAAGTATAGATGGATCCCACCTCACTGCCGGAGCGTGTGATTCCCTCCCTATGCCGGAGTCAGAGGGGTGGCATGGGGGTGGCTTCGGATGACGTATCGTCCATACTCTTGATCAACCATTGAGTATAGATTCAGATGTTTTATATAGGATAGTATTGATCAACCATTCAGAGTATAGGGGAATCTCCGACCAATGAGTCACTGATTTCCTAAAGATAGGACTTCTTGGGTCTTGCTTTGGGCGTCCATGTTGTTCTCCCCTTCCGATTGCACAGTTGTGGACTTGGACATTCTGCACCGTACTTGGAATGCATTGAAACTCACTTGGGAAGTTCGAAAGAACCAATAGTTCTTTAGCGTGAACACCATGGATTTCTGGATTCTCAAGAGACAGGCCGGTGGCCCCAACGCGTTGCTTTTGTGGAAATGCCTGGAAATCGTCCAGGCCATGAATCGGAACCTGGGCAATGCCGCGAAGCAGATTTTCGACCTCACCCACGAGGAGTGGAGCTTTTCCGAAGGATGCTCGAGTCCCAGGTCGGACCTTCTGGTGAGTTGGTTGTAGCGGACATGGACAGTGTTGAGAAAGAGACTCCGGGATGGGACAATTGGATCATTTCCAAGCACTAAAAGTGGGAGACTCTGTTCCAACCACAACCAAAGGATGGGACGATTGTCCCAGAGATTGCGTGGAAGCTATGAGGGTCGAAAAAGCGGTCGAAGGGAAGCTCTCTCTCCCGCTCTCTCTCGCTCTCTCTCTCTCTCTCCATTCTGTTGGAGTTTCAGTGTGCATTGACAAGTGCTTAAGAAGGATCGTTAATTAAATTTACTGTATAATTAGATGTGTTTCCCATTTAACTCCTGATACGAATTAAAAAGCACCTGAGCCTGAGCTAGAGAATCTCCACATGTGTTCTTTGTAGGTGATGGGCCGATGGGGATAGAGGACACTTCGTCGGTCCATCATTTATTTTTTAACCACCAGGGTGGTGTTCACGTGCAGGATGATCCAACTCACAGTAGCTCACCAATTTGGGACACTGCCCAACTTACAGATTTGGATCCTGAAAATCGGTATAGTGGCTGAATGAGGCGCCGCTGCCCGCAATCCCTTATTGGGGGCAGGAGCACAAAGTTCTGGCCGCGACCATGAATGCACATCTGCAAGCCACCTCCAATGCCATTGACAATTTGCACCTAGCATCAGTCAGTGGCTCGTGGTCGGGCAACACTAGTGATGGGTTGTGACTCAAGGCCAACCATTTCAACACATTTGTCAGTCAGGAATGATCTGTATTTTATATACATCATCTTCCAGATCTAAGAGCATAGACGACTAGCCGTGTCAGGTCTACACATTTTGGCAGGTGATGTTTCCTTCTGCCCTCGTGAAGGTCTTTATGGACATTTAGATCGATCCCAGTGCAACAGCCAATTTTCCAGCTGGATCCCAGCGGTGGACTTAGTGGCCTTAGTGAAGATGGTGGACTATTCGTGCTTCCGTGGGACACCACGACGCGTGAGACACTACTACCGCCTGTGCGTATTACTTGAGCCTTTGTCTCGCTGTCAATGGCCTTCGCAACTCTCCACAGGAATGGGAGGTCTTCCCAATACAGTGATCCTCTTGTTGTCTCGTTTTTTTTTGGGAGGCTTTGGATTCTTACGGCATTGTCATTTAGGGCATATCTCTCAGTTCCACTGGACAGGAAGATCTACAACTTTGGATGCTTCATGATGCTTCATTTAGATTCTTCGTGCCCATACAGTAATTACTCAAGACATCTCAAGACCCTCCAGAATATCTTGAGACCACAGGATGTCACAAGACTTCCATCGTCACAGGGTTTTCCGTCAGCGAAGATCCCGTCACCGATCGACTCACGGCGAGAGGACCGCCGTGCACCGTGCACCGGGTGACCGGTTTCCGAGGAAGGCGGAGACGCAGCAGGGCTTCCATGACGCCTTCAACGAGTTTGCCGAGCCTCGTTGGGCGCGGGTGCTGGTTTCCTCCGTTTTTTGAGCGACGTAACGCTTTGCGGGCGAAGATGACGGAAGCAAGATGAACAGAAGAGACGACCTGGAAGGTCAACCTACCCTCGTTTGCGGCTCCTGGTTTTGACCCACAGCCATGTGACTGTTTTCGTTTGATGCACTGTGGGAACGGTTTGAAGGGAAGGTTCTGCCAACTTTCTTCAACATGTGGAGAGCTCCAGGTTGAGGATACCCTCCCTCCAACAAACGTCAGCTGACCAGGACCCCCTCATGGAGGAAAATGCAGTTCCCGGGGGGGGCCCAGGCTCCACTTCCATTCGTTTTTGAGGGAGTGTAATGACCCAAATCGAAGTTTCTATGACCTCAAGCAGTTCTCTTCACCGACCAACCTCTGAGGGTTGCTAGCCACATAAAAAATGCTAAGGACCAGTTTGCATGTTATGTCCGACTTGGGGTCGGAGCCTGTCATGTTCCATCAATTCCATGTTTGACTTTGACCAGTAGGTCGGGGTTATCTTAATCTCAACGCAGCAGTTCCCGAAGTTCTGTGCACAGTATGTTGTTCTTTGACTGGATTCACTATGATTCACTGGATTCACTGGATGGCCTCTCCTTTTCTGCCCATGAGATCCACCTCGCACCACCTAAGACCTTCCCCTTCTCTCCACACCTTCTCCGCTTGCTTCGAACCTGCGAACCGTGGCCGCTGCGGATCCACGGTCACCGCGGTGGGCACCGCGTCCAAGGACACCTTGAGCCAGGAGGATCTCCTGGAGCTGTCCAAGGTCTCCCGGAGCCGCCGCGCGGCCTTGGCCCAGCTCAATGCCTGGGAGGAGCACAGTTGGCTGAGACGGCTGTTGGAGTGCCTTGAAGTGGTTGATTTGCCGCTTGGTCAAGCTCCGGATCCCCGTACCGCCGGTGCCACCATGCCCAAGATGAACCTGTGGAACCGAAGCTCGCTTCCCCTGGGCGTTCTGGTCCCCGCTGCCCGTGCCTTCACGCACCGAATTGCCAGGACTCAGTTCAGAGTGCGGGCGGACAAAAACTTCAGCAGATTGAACAAGCTTTGCTGGTGCTTCAGAAGCGCGTGCAAGAAACACCCAAGGAGCGCGGTGGGTGGGATGGGCAGCAGGTGAGAAGAGATGGGTTTTGAATGTTGGACCTTCGTTTTGGATCGTGTTGTTAGGCAGGCAGTGGATCAAAGCCGGACCAAACCTCTGTGATGAACATCTCCCGACAAGCTGGGTTGTGTATGACCACAGGACACCGCTTTTGGATCTCAAGTTGTTGGACACTGGAGGAACCTAGACTATCGTGAGCTTCAAGGAGTCAGAGGACTTTCTACTTAGGGCAACCTATAGTCTCATCATCTGAGACGTCTTGTGTTGGTTCATGGAGGGTTTTTTAAACATCTATTGTTAACGGGCCACCAATAATATAGAGGGAGAAGTACCACAGTTGAATGCCTTGGAAAGCTGCAGAATTCTATTTTGACAGAATTGCAATATTGGTTTGTTTCTTGTACACGCCCCAACTAGTGAAGGTTCCATTAGGGGTTGGTACCTTGGTACTTATCTTTGGCAAAGACCTTTATTGGGATAAGACTGCATACCACATGGCTAGTGACGTCCCCGACTCTTGGGCACCATTGTCACACTACGAGTCCGGAGCGATCGAACGCAGCCCCGCCGGAGCTCCGGAGCAGCAGTCCTCCGGTTCCGTGTGGCGCATCGGTTCGTCTGAGGAGGGGAATCTCACGGAGCATGTGATGAAGATGCACGAGGCGAAAGACAGCGTCAAGCAAGGTTGTGAAGACTTGTAATTAGGACATGAACACGGGGTTCCTGGATTGCTCAGAACTGGAGTGCACCGTGTTGCTGGAAATCACAAATCAACAGTGTAAGAACAATCCGGGTCCACCAGGATCAAGAACGCCACACGTTTATCTCCACGGGGTTTGTGCTTTCTTCTCCACCCAGCTGAAGAAGAGGGACCCGCCGGTAAAATCAGCAAGGGCTCCACCACCGGTGAGCTGCGCTTTGGGACCGCAGAGGTTGGGTGAATTGGTTATCAGTGTGGTCACGGGAAGCTTTTGAAAGCACCCGAAGTGGTTAGTTGGTCTACCACTACGGTCTACTCCTAGCAAGGGCATATGTAGCTTTGAGTGAGTCGCCCTGGGTCGAAGGTGTAGGGTAACCATGGGATGGTTGGATCAAATTCCCTTTGACAAGTGGATTATTTCATCACCAGTTCAACCATAACATCCTCCACGCTTTTGATACCAAAACGAATCAAAAACCATCAAATCCCAACCTGTACCATTCGGGCAAACGCGCAGATGGAACTCCGGACCATTGGTCGGAGCGAAGCGCTCAGGATGTGACCTCTACGGTGGGAGAGCTTCATGAGCTGCGGAAGCAGACGCTCAGACGCGCGAAAGCAGCTGCGGTTGGGGGAAAAGAACTTAAACCTAGGCGAAATCCTTCTTTGGCAGATCTTCAACGTTTGTTAATGGGAAGAACTTTGGATCGGTTGGTACACGATTTCTCAAGGAAGCTTTATCATTTGGGTTCTTCCAAGTTGTTTCATCATTGCCCACAAAGCTGTGTTGTTTGATTTGAGTGGCCTGGCTGGTGCCGCTCAGCCTTTCTCAAGAGATTGATGGCGGGCCTATGACCGGATCGCAAGGCTTTTGAAGAGTCTTGATCCGCTGGACTGACTTTGTTGAAGAGTCTTGACTATTTCCCTGTACCAATGGGGCAATGGGGGCCAGTTCCAGTTCTAGTTCAAGAAGCCGCATTCCCGAAACAAGTGTGTCGGTCGTTGAGCTGTTGCAGCCGAAGACATAGTCAAAGACATAGATCTTCAGACAGCAGCTACAGATACAACGGACCGGGCAAAACCCACATCATGTTCTTGCCTGTGAGGGCCTCACAGGCCTCCAGGCAGGAGTTCTGAGACATGACATGTTGTCAACATCCCCACCGCGGCAGTCGCCCCTCCGGTACGCCTCCCAGGCCCACCGCGCACGAGTCGCCGGCGGGCACGGTGGATGCGGAGATGAAAACGCTGCTCTCGGCGGCGGAGAAGTCCTTGGAGAGCCACGCCATGGCGGCGGAGCGGATGGGCGTCTGGGATGAGTGGGTCAGGCTGCTGGAGGGATGCCATTGTGTCCTATGATTAAACTATATTAAACTATAAAGGAGCAACCTAGGAGCAACAGATGATTAGGCTGGGGCACAGGGTGGATGTTGGGAGAGTGGCTCTAGCCATGGTGGATGCAAAAAGGAGGGTCGCATTTGGTGTGGGAAGGGGGGGAAGACTCTCCATATCTCCTCGAGTGAGTGAAGGCCGGAGGGGTGAAGATTGGATGGACTGGTGATTTCTTCAATACCAGGTTTGCTCCCTTCTTGTTTTAAATCCGTCTTGCACCACCCTGCCACTGCAGCCGGGTGCGGATCGGAATCGAGTCGGCGATAAATCCGGGTTGCAGGGAGAATTCCAACCCTCATATACCATCCACTGTGATTCACGTAGCTTTGGGATGTTTTGGGTGCAGGATGATGCAGGTGAGTTTCGGAGAACATCCCATTGACAGGTTGAGACCCACGGCCTCGGCTCCCAGGGAATCCCGCTTTCGGCGCGTCGTCCCGAGTCAAAGGTCACTAAGGACACGGTGACCATTTTGGTCGAAGGACAGGGAAGGCCCGGTCTTATGTGTCTCTTGGAGTTTCTGTAAGTTCTGACCCTACCACCTCCTGTCTCTTGGGGTCGCCAAAGGTCCTGTCACCAGACAGTTAAGACATGTTAAGACTTGGGTTTTGGATCGACACCTTTTTTTTCTTGGGCGTGGGTAGTTCACCTTTCCTGCATGGCTGTTCAAGGCATCCAGGTGGTTGGATCGCGGGTTCCTGCTGGCCTCGTAGTGCTGCAGAGCACATGTCGATGAACTTGATTGATAGGACCTTCCAAATCCCTTGGACGGATGCGACGCTTTCGACTGGTGGATCATGGAGGGATCAGTTGGAAGGTCGTGGTCCATGAGGGTGCCTTAAAAGGGCACAGCATTTCACCCAAAGCAACTCCACCAGACCCAGACCCAGCCCACCGAAGCGACGACCACGACCACTAAGGTCGCTTAATCGGTGCTTTGCAGAGCTCTGATCACCTCACCTCGAATGCGGAAGACTTCCATGTGGAGGCCCAGATGGTGGAGTTCGACAAGATCTTGGCGACCTGGCCAAGGTCTTTTCAACGGGCTGGTGGGGAACTGAAGCAGATGTATAGGTAGATTCTTGGCTTGTCCAATCCTGACTTTGAACCATTCCCACTCGGCAAGCCAACTTCATGACCAGTTGAGATTGGAAAGACATGTTGACACTGTTTGACACTGCACCTGCCGCTGCTCTTAAAAAAGAGCCTTGTTTCGAGACCACTGACTCCTCATGGAGGAGGCTGGGGCCACTGAGGGTGTCGAGAATTCTGCAGAATTGTTTTTAGGCCTTTTGCAAATGGGTTTGAAGCAGTGCCATATCACTGTTTTGTTGTTGTAATATGATACTATGTATATTATGTTTATTATACTCCCAATGTAAAGGCTTCATTTAGCTTTATGTTTGTGCTCGCAAAAAGCCGAGCCATCAAGACTAGAGAACTTGGTGCGTGTGAGACGAGTGAGGGGTTAGGATGAGGAATCATCCCAGGGTTATTCCCCTGGACGGGGTTAATGGGTGTTTCAGGGTTTGGGGAAGCCTCACGATCCCAGAGACTCCAAGTGAGACTGTCCGCCGCCAGATCTGTTAAAAGGCGATTTCGAAACAACTCAAAAGCACAATCACGCAACCTCTTCAACCCAACAATGATTCTCTTTAAACTTTACACCTGTGCATCTCCAATCAGTTGCTGCAAAAGGTTCCAGCGTTTCTTTCTCCCCCACCCTCTTCCATCGCTCGCTGAAAGAACAGAACATCACGTCGCAAACCGTCGCGCAACGCCGCCGGGGGCCAAGGTGAAGATCCGCGGAGCGGCGGAGGAGTATTTGAGCGAAAGCCAAGAACAAGCGAAGCTCGTGCGGGAGGCGCTCCGCGTTTTTCGGCGCGGTGCGTTTCCACTCCGCATGGCGCGGAGCGGAACTCCGTGTCCGTTGGAAGATCGGGTGGTCGGGGTCTGGAAGAAGTGGAAGCTCGGGTGGAGGGAAGGTCTGTGGAGGTCTGTGGAGGTCTGTGGCATGTGGCGGATGCAAGATGATGAAATGGGGGCGAGGGAGGGAACCGTGGGTGAATGGGTGCCAAGACTCCTGAAGAGTGGCCATGTTGACCAAATCCGTTGGATCATTGACATCTCTTCGCATTGTTGCTGTCTTAAAGATCTTTGGATGCAGAATGCACAGATGTTCACAGTCAAGAAACTGCAATCAAACGTTTCTTTGACTAGATTACTAGTAGGTCACTTGTCACCGTTGTTTACGCCGTTCTAGCCTGTTGAACAAAATGTAGTGGGTGGCCATCGGTATTGAATCCAAACCTAGCGACACCAAGCCCAGAGTTTCTCCAGCCCTGATAGATGAATGTTCTTGTAATCCGCTTGGTGCCATTGTCACGACTTGTGTTGTAGCTTGAGGAAGACATCGTGCATCACATATTTAGATTGGGTTCCGTGATGGTTTCGGCCGCGCGCGCTTTGACTAATTTTCTCAGACAGTCAGACAGTAGTTCCCAACTACAAGAAGTGCGCGCGCTTCAGTTGGGCAAGTTCCTGCTTGAGAAGTTCATTTTCATGCCGGAGACGATCGTTTTCTTCTTCAATGTCTTGATGCACATGGACTGCTTCAAGCAATTCTTCAAGAAGTACGCGTTCGTCTTGGGTCAAAGGAACCTTGGGTGCAGATGTTGACATTGGCGTTGCCTCCTGTTCATCTGATGTAGAAGACGATGATGAATCCGAAGAAGTAGAATCAGAACCATTACCTCCATTGCCCTGGTGCTCATCAATGGACATATCTGCTGCAGGAGGAACAGGTGCAGGAAGAGCAAGCATTGGAACACTGCCTTGGGAAGTTGATGCCGAGCGAGCACGACCATCTTTCTTGGTTTGTAACCAAGACATCAACGCCGTCTGGCATTGACTCGACCAAGCAGAACCTTGTGCCAGGGTTCCCTGGTTGACTGCGTTGCGTCTGATGGTGTTGATTTGGATCTGAATTTGCTTTTTGGTGACTGCCGCCCTGTCACTATGCACAGCAATGGTTCCATTGTGAATGTTTTCCACGATGTCAGCTGCATCAGGAAAAGAAGTAGGCTCTGAAGAAGCGCTTTGAGACACATTGCCCATGAGCTCCAAAGTAATGTGCTGTCGTTCGTTCATGTAGGCTTCCACAGAGAGCTGCATGCGCGGAGACTTCGGCATGATCTATCAGTATTAAAGAGTCTGAGTACGAAGCAATGACTATGCTGAGGGGAAATGCCTACAGAATATATGCACACAAGTTGCACGTGCAACAAGCTCAGTGTCGACAACAAGAAATCTCCAAAAAGGATTTTAGTAAACCATAAAATGGTTATCCATATATAGCCATATATATATATGTGTGTGTGTGTCTCACAAACATATGCGTGTGACTTGCCGGCAAGACAGAAGCAAGTGAACAGCAAGCAAACACAAACCGTCCAGATGTAAAGGAAAAGGTTTTCTTTTTTCCAAAGCTTTTGTGAGCATTAGGCTAGAGCTGGTGCACGCGCTGCATGGCTTCCATTGTGGTGGTCAAGGGCACTACGTAGACATGTTTGCTACCTTTGGTGTGCATTTTTCGCCACCGATATTCATTTAAAAGGCATTTCCACCTTTGGCGGTTGCTGTGTGAAGGCAAGCGGCCACCTTCACGCTTGCGAATCCATCTTTTTACAAGTGACCAACGGTTTTCAATGTGATTCGTAGTGAATCCATTGGAATTGGTGATTTCTCCTCATCCAAGAACGATTTGAGGTCCTCCAGGTTGATGCTGCTCAAGTTGGGATCGTCCTTCATCCACATGACTGGATAGACAAGTGTTTGCAAACCAAAGTCTGTGTTTGCAAACTCATGCTTTAACAAGAAGGTTGTATGTTGGGGGAGGGGGGGGGGAGGGGGGGGGGG